GATCCTGGGCCACTTGGTAAAACTGCAGAAATCCAGAGGCACGAATGTGTGCAAAGAGCCAACGTGAGCTGAGCTGTCATTCCAACTGTACCGGGGCCTTTCTTGGGATGTTAAAAAAGAGCAGAGGCAGATCCCAAGCTGTCAGTGGACTGCAGGTAACTTGCCCAAGGCCCCACCATTGGTATGAACCCAGGCCACACTCTTCTCCACTGCGCTAGACCCTCTCCACTCTCTGTGGAGTAGTAGGAGTAGCTGTTACTGCTGCCACTTGTCACCTACTAACTTAGTGAGAGGTATTATGCTAACCACTTTGCACCCATGACCTCATCCAAATCTCACAGCCACACAGGACAGAGTGGTATTATGAACTCCATTTTTCCTTTAAGGAAACTGAGGCTGAGAGTGGTGATGTGAGCTGCCCTAGGTCCTACACAGAGTAGGAACAGACCTGGCACCGAAACTCAGATCTGCCCATGGCCCCATGCTTTACTACTCCTATTTGTGCACACATCCTTCACACCCCTTCTGCTTACCTGTGGTAAGTTTTTAAAAAAACAGAAACAAAGCAAAACAAACCAACCACACCCTAAGACATAACACCATAGGGAGTAATTCTACTCTATGTACATGGTGTCACCAGGAGTCGGAATGACTCAACACAACTAATATCAGCAACAAGAAAGCATAAGTGAACAAACTCTCAGCATTACAAAAATGGAAACCTTAAAGGGACACTTTAAAGCTACCCACCACACAATGACAGCATCTCTAGCATGTATGAGGACTCCAGAGGCAGGACTCCAACAGCGGTGACCTTCCGAAGCAGATCTCACTGCATCAGAACAGAACAAATGGTGCCTTCCATCACGTCACCCCACCCTGTCTCATCTCATCACTGAGTCTCCTCTCATGACGCCAGATCTCCGTCCATATCAGAGCCTATCCCCTGGGACTGGACTCCTCCCTTGGTAACTCAAACTCAGTCCCTCCAAGGAGGTCATGGAATTGAGCAGACTTAACCGTGGGGAGAATAAACAGATGAATGGCCAAAGGATTTGTGTAGCTCTAGCCACTTGTAATATATTGTTGCTTCTTTTAATTAACAGTTAAAATTATTATAATCCACAGAACTAAAGGAAATCTATTATTGATGGATTGCATTGGGGAGGGTCTAGTTCATAGTCCCTTCGTAGAATGTTTTGAGGGGCTCCAGGAAGGACAATATATCTAAAGTACTTCTCCCAAATACTTGCCACATGGCCTAAAATCCCACTGTTAGAAATTAAATGTTTCTGGTCTGTCCACTTGTTAAAATGTGAACACACTTGGCAAAGTTATATAAAATAGTGTCAATCTTTTCACCTTAGTACTTCCATAGAGGAGAGGTCACTATAAGTCAGAATTGACTCGACAGAAGTAAGTTTAGAGTTTTGGTTTTAGTGTGAATTACATTAATTCCATTCAGTTAGACAAGAATCTCTAGCAGGGTATTAGGAAATAAAACAATAAATAACCAAGGTCCTTCTATTCCATGACAGTTAGTGTATATATGGTTGATTTGCATAACCATGGACACTTTATGCCCATAACCCTGATGTAAATTCTGACTGCACCCCATTCTACCTTCAAATATGTACCAGACTGGACTATTAAAGCCCAAAACACCATGGTAGATGTTGTAATGTGCCATTTGGCTCCTAGGAGTGAAAGTGTCTTTCCAAGCTGCGGGGGGTGTTGCTGGCAAGTCAACCTCACCATCAGCCCCCTTCAGGGATGGTCCAGACTCAAGAGAGTTGCCCTCCAGGTGGCTCTGCCCCTAACCGGTGCAGCACGTATCAGTGACTGACCAACGTGGGGCAGGACAATCATGAAGGCCATCTGAGCTTCAGCATTCCCTGGAGGGGCTCCGAGGCCCTGCGTTGCAGCTGGACTTCTCTCCCTCAGCCCTTCTTCCCCTCCACCTTCCCAGAGGCAGTCCCTAAAAAGTAACCTGCAAGCTAAGCTCCATCTCAGAGTCTGGTTCCTGGGAAACCCAGCCCGCAACGGCCACCATATTCAGTGGGGCGACTCTGGGTTCTGAGTCAGATTGGGTTTGAACCCCAGCTCTACCATTTTCTAGTTATGTCCCCTGGACTTCTCTGAGCGTCAGCTTCCGAATCCATAAAACAGACATCACCACACATTCCTCATGGGGCAACTGTGAGGACTAAGATATGCAATGCACTTAGCACAAGACTGGCATATTTAGTCACTCAATAAGTTGTTGCTGTGAGTGGCTGTTGAGGCAATTCCAACGCATGGCGACCCCAAGTGCGTACAATGACCAATGAATGCCAGTCCTTTCCGTCATACTTGGCATGAAGTCCCCCTGGTGCCTTCCCTGCCGGTCCACAATGACTTTGGGGAGCCTTGTCTAGGCCCCACTGCAGCACATTGCCCCCCACCTCCCTTTCTCCAGCCCCCAGTGTGAACATCCATCTTTGCAGTGAAGACCTCCAGTCCCAGCACAGTGCCATTTTGGAATGTCAGTGGCAGTTCAGAGTCCATCACCCGCACAGTGGCAAGAACACAAATGTGCCCCAACTTGAACTACATTGCAGTGAAAGACAATCTGTTTTTCCTGAACACACTGCTGTACACGTGCCCCCCGCCCCAGTGCTCCCTGTCACATTCCTTCCTGCTCACTTACCACCCAAATCTAGTGCCAAACCCAACACGAACGCAGGGGCGGATTACTCACGAAGCAAAGTGAGCACAGGCTTACTTGTGCTTATTTTCTAATTGGTAGTGAACAATTGCACATGAGTTCCATCGCAGATAGGATATAAAATATGTGAAACTGTTCACTACAGACTAGTAAGTAAACACAAGTAAGCCCCTACTTACTTTGCTTACTGCATCCTCCGTCCCTGTCAGGGATTGTAAATTGGAAAAGAGGCTTTGATTCTACAGGGAGCTGCTGTAGGGTTGGGAGAGAGAGATGCCAGCCACATGCAAAAGCAGAATCTTTGATGTGGTGAAAAAATTGTTCACTGTAAGTTAGTAAGTAAGCACATGTAAGCCCGTGCTTACCTTGCTTAGTGGATAATCCAATACTGCCTGAAGGGCTTGGAATGTGGCTTCACAGTGCACGTTTCGCTGGCTCCAGCTCTGGCTGAAGCCTTCCGTGCTGCCGCACCTCTGCCTCTTCCCACCACTGCCCTGCGCCGGCCGTGAGGCAGCCACACAGAACTGCTCCACAGTCTGGACCTTTGGACCTGAGAGCTCCTCTGCTGAAGGTTTTCTGAAACCTGCCTGGCTGGCAAACTCCTGCTGGCTTCAAACCGGCTTCTGGATTAGAAGCCATCTCTGAAGCAAAATAAACGAAGGCTTAGCATCGTCCCTGGCCCATAGCCTGGACTCCAGCCAGGCCCGTGAGCTTTCAGAAGTCTCGTTCTTCACGCCATCCCCATCAACCGGTCAGAGCATCTGTCCCCTTTCGGAAATAGATTTGGAACAGGCAGCTTACTCACTACACTCATTCAAGGAACAGACAAAGCTAGGGCTCAAAAGTCCATCTTGGTCAAGCCTTTGGAAAAGTGCAAGCTACATACGTATCTCTAACACCAAGGGGCCAGATACATACGGGTTCAAATCCTAGCTCAGTCATTTAACCTCTCAATTCTCGGTTTCCTTATTTGAACACCAAGCATTTTGTGGAGGCAAGGGTGCATACGCACGCTTAGCATACAGACACGTGTACACACGTACACACTCTCTCCATGCCAGAATCACATGCTTATACCTCGGTAGCCTGAAGGCAGAATTACACCCTCCCTGCGATTCACAGGAAGAGGACGTGCCCAAACTCTGAATTCCAATTTGGGAACCATGAGCCCATATGGAATGTCGGCTCCAACATCTCTCCTGGTTTCACACCACGCTTGCTAAAGACAGACTGTAAAATACTGTGACATCTAATACAAGCTAGAAGACACCTACTCAGCTCTATAGACTTTGTGAAGGGCGATGTGAGATGCTTCATCTTTCTTTTCCCGTTTGTTGGTAATTCAAGCATCAGTTAATACAATGTTTAGCACAAACAGCGAGAACACTGTAAAATCCCCCAAAGACAGTTATGCTTTGGTTTCTACATACCTAACAGTACACACCTGACATGGAAATATCAAAGCTCTCTTTGTCTGTCAGTTTAATAAATAATATTCTTTTCACGATAACACTTAAGGATGGCCAACATGCGATGCAAAAATCACTCTAATGCACAGATAACCGGTGGCAACAAGAGGAGCCTGTGGTGCAGTGCTTGAGCACTCAGCTGCTAACTACAAGGTGGCCGGTTTGAACCCACCAGCTGCTCCTCAGGAGGAAGCTGTGGCAGTCTGTTTCTATAAAGATGACAGCCTTGGAAACTCTATGGGGCAGATCTGCTCTGTCCTACAGGGTAAGGATGTGTCAAGCTACTGGATGGCAATAGCTTGGTTGCTTGGGTTTAGGCATGCAACCAGGCACAACTGTTTGAAATGAACATGGCTATCTATATCTAGCCTTAGCCTTAAGCTATAAACTTCCCAAGTCTAATAACTCCGCTTTGGAGAATCTGCCCCCAGGAAACAATCTGCACATGGAAAGGGGCTTTATGTATAAGGTCTTCATTGCAGCACTTTTCTAATAATAAAGGCTCGTAAACAATCAGATGTCCGAAAAGAAAATGGATGTGGAAACTGCACTGTGGCTATCCCTATAAAATGAAGTAAATGAATAAGAAGTCTAAAACTACAAAGATAATTGTGGATTAAATTGTGTCCCCAAAAAGGATGTATCAAAGTCCTAACTCTTATACATATGACTGCAACCTTGTTTAGAAAGAAAGTCTTTGAAAGTGTAATTAGTTAAATTAACAAGAAGTCATACTGAAGTAGCGTGAGTCCTGTCCAACATGAGTGGTGTCTTCATAGAGAAGAGTCACAGAGAGGCAGGGTAGAAAGGTCATGTGAACATGCATCTTGAAGCCAAGGAAGGCCAAGCAAGGACTGGGCAACCAGATGCTGAAAGAGACAAGAGGGACATCATCGTAGAGACTTTGGAGGGAGCAAGGCCCAGCCAGCACATGTATTTGGGCGTCTCACCTCCAGACCTGTGAGGCAATGCCTTTCTGTTCTGATAAGTCACCCATTTTGTGTTATTTTGTTACAATGGCCCTAGGAAACTAATACAAAAACACATACAAAATTTTTAAAAAGAAGGAAGAAACAATGGGAAAGGAGTGAACAGCAGATAAGGGATTCCAACAAATCCTAGATGGAGAAAAGGACAGGGAGGTGTGTTAACCTTTTAATGACCAAATGATTTTCTGCTTTGAATTTTCTATTGATACACTATTTTTTCAGTAATAAATGCTGAAATCAATGGAAAATTTATTTTGAGGTAATAGGATTTTGATACAATTGTGTGGAGCACATATGTCCCAAGTAGACTCTGGTGGTAGGATTGGTGGGATGAGGCCTGTTTCTTCAAATTCACATAGTGATATACATCTCCATCAGTTGGCAGCATGTTCTACAACTGGGATATCAAGTTCCCAAGAAACCTGAGAGGCTGAAATGTTGGTTGGTGCTATATGTCCCACAGGTCATGAAAGGAGTTACTGATTTGGCAAGTGGAATAAGTAACCTGGTACCTATGGAAGGCAGTACTCACATAACATGATCTATTTGCCCCATAGACCCTTTGGGAAGCCCAGGAAGGCAGGGGCAAAATACAGCTGAAAGCAGGAGCACTGGCTGAGAATCCCTGCTCACAGATGTGGTCGATGAGGGTAATAGGATAGTGCTGTTAGTCTTTTGGGCTCTGCTGTGAACCATATTAACATGGCCATGATAATGTAACTATTCACTCATTTCAACCCCCAATCTTGACATAATAATTTTTTTTTTTTTATTGTGATTTGGGTGAAGATTTACAGAGCAAATTCACTTTCCATACAGCAGTTCACACACACTTTGTCTCATGACATTGACCACAGTTTACCACAATGCAACAGCTCCCCTCTCACTTCCTCCCCATAGTTACCTCTTCCCAGTGTCCATCCCTAC